AATTAGACAAAGATTTCTAATCGTTTGCATGCAATCTGCTGTCGATGGTTGTTCTGCATTTGAATCTGATATATGGGAGCAGGCTTGAAAAGAATCTAAACATAATATGCAATTCTGAGCGCCATAGCATCATCAAGTTTTTATAGCATATTAACATACATATGAATCATTAATTCAAACACTACTCAGTGGTTGAGGAGTTGCAGAATATGAATAGCCAACACATGCAAGACATTGGTCTTATCCCAAGAAGCTTTCTTCCTCTTGTGATCTGAGCTACATCATCCAAATAGGATGCTTCTAACTACTGCACATTAAATAAACAAAATTTGGGGGTGGGCTGGATCTTTCTTTAAACATGCCAAATGCATTGAGGACAAGAATCCATTTCCAAGTCTTTCATGTTTTCACTGAACCCGGCCCAATCTTGCAGCATGCATCAGCGACTCAATTTGTTTTTATTTTATTAATTGAGTTACACTGTTATTGGGGATACTTGCAGAGGTTGCATAGCAAAATATTATTTTACCCTTGCAAGAGCAAGAGGAGGTGACTAATTATGCTTGTTGTTCAATGGGTTTTAATTTTTTGCTAGTTATACGATCATTTTGATATGATAAATTGGAATTTCAATGTCTCTTTTTAATCGTTAGAACTATTATCTAATATATATGGTCACAACTATTTTAAAAAGGTCATTAAGAATTTCTTAAGTTGCAAGGTAGATCGTAAACGATTATCAACAAGAGAGGAAAATTAACAGACAACACAGAAAGTAACAAATGGTGAATTCAACCATGCGTATTTTAAAGTCCATATGTTTCCATGATTAACACAACATAGGGTGATCCTTGCTCTCTCAACGACAAATGTATTGAACTGCAGATCTGATGCTATTTGCTAAAAGCTCTAACACTTGAGTAGTAAACAGATTGATTCCTGAAACTTTTGTCTTGTATGGGAACTAGTCCTACCGAACATAATCTTAACCAATCTCTCAATGGTGGGAACATTAACAACAAGTTCTTTAGATTTCTCCCACCTGTTTCTTGATATAATAGATGAAATTTTAGTTTGGGCTTGATAATTGCCCTTTTCTTTTATTAAGTACATTGCATCCCTAACAAGTGTATACAGAAGATGACACTAGCAAAATCTTTCATATGTACAATAAAAAATCTCGCTGTGTGTTTCAAATGCCACCCCACAGTGAATTCAGTGTAAGAGCATACCCTGAAACCTGTTAATTTCACATGAGGCAGTGGGCTAACAATCACAACTACATTGAAAATTGCTGGTTCAGCACTCAAACCCACCCAACTATAAACACCAGCATAGTTTATGAAATGTGCATTATGAATCCAAATAGACGATAAGAATGACAGTAAGAATTGATAAAAGGGAAAAAATGGTGTGCTGTGTCCTTCTTTATTAAGTAGTGATAAATTACTTATGGGAGGTTTAAGAGACGCTAGCCATAAATGTTGCTGCATTCAACATATTTTGCAGTTAAAATTAAACCTCAACTAGTCCAACTTGTAGATGGCTTCCAGCTACTCTTATGGAAAGATACAAGGAAAAAGAATTTCCAGGGCTGTTCATCCTTCATAGATAGGTATGCAACCCATAATTATTATGTTACGTCACAAGTTTTGTCATTAAACATTTGGAAAGAAAAGAGCTTTTGGGTTGCATCCCCTTGCATGTGTTTCACCTTCAAAGAGTTAATCTTGAAAGTTCAAATGTGGAATGCTAGGAATGGTCACGACGAAAACCATGGAATGAGCAGAGGACATGCCCCTTGATTTAGCCTTACATGTGCTCCCTATTAAAATAAAGGGACTTTATATTTGTTGTTGTACACATTAGCACTGCATGTCAGCGTTATAATTATGCTGGAAAGGAGTATCTTATACTTACGGATTTAATAATTTTTGTGGAATGTGGCATTGTTATAATCATTATGCATTTTTCATGGAGCATTTTGATTAGCTGATTAGACATCATAATTCGGTAAACTGTGGAATATATTCTTGCTCAAACTCAAAGATAACGGAACAAGACAACTACCATGGCCTTCGATTCAGATAACCAACTTATATTATACACACACATACTCAGTGCACACTTACAACATCGCATATATTTACAACAAAGATAGAAAAATAGCATCTTGAATAAAAAGTAACTAACCGCCTTGGTAAACTCGATCCTCAGCGGGTTGCCCGCAACAAGAAGACCCTGGAGGGAATCCATGGCAGCGATTGCATCGTCTTCCCTGTTGAACTTAAGAAAGGCATAACTCCGGCCGGGATGGAAGGCTACGCTTTCTAGCTCTCCAAACTGCAGAAAGGGATTAACGAGATCTTCCTCCACGACACTATGAGAAAGGTTCCCAACCCATAGGTTCCTGGACGGCGGAGCTTTCCCACTTTTGGAATCCAACCGCCGCAGCCCATTCCCACCGCGACTCTCCGGAAACCGGTCCCTACCTCCAACTCGACCCGCCTAATCATCCAAAAACCGAAAATCCGAATCAAAGACAAAGCACAGTAAACAATGAACTAGCACGACGATTTTATCGAAAAAATAAAAAATTCTACGGTTTTGAGATTGAATTGATCAGAAACACTTACCATAGTAACTTTACGGTGATTCCGGCGACGCTTTTAGAATGTGAATCGATCGAAGTCCAATGCCTTCTGAAATTCTTCAATCTACTTGGAGCAGTGAAAGATTGGAGAAGATAGTAGAAAATCTCAGTGACTGAACTCTGCCACTCGCTTGTTCTTCTTCTCAGCCTCTCCAAGTTTACAGTTTTATAATTAGGGTTTTGGAATTGGGATTTTTTGATAGGATAGAATTCCCCGGGCCGCGGTAAAGTGGGCGATGATGATGATTTTTTTTAATTATTTTATTGTATTTTTGTCGAAGGGGTGTGTGGTGATGATTGGGCACGTCGTTACCAAGAATGGGTGTCCTGTACTCAACTGAAAACGGAATTGTAAGACACGGGGCCAATTGGTAAATAAGGCTAAATATAAAATGTCCTTTTCGCCCTTAAATATTACAAAATGGAAAATGATAGCCATGCATCCTGTTGAATTGAACTCATGCACAACCCCTGTTCAATTTAATGTATTGTTTTCGTTTGATTTATTTAAGATACCTATTAATAAAATTCTGTTTATCAATCAAAATTATATGAAATTATTATTCTAGTTCTCTCGTCAAAGCTAAACAAAATTAAAAGGCATGTCAATTTAGTAATTACATACCTCTTAAATTTTCAGTTTTTTACACGAACCTCACAGCCAAATAAACATGATAGATTTATTTAAAAAATAAAATGAAAAATGGAGGAGGTTTTTTTTTTTTTTTTTTTTTTTTTGTAATTTTAGTTTTTAACTCACGTCTCCACACTTCAAAACCAACCCCCAACGCCAACTTCAAAGTTTCACGGCCTATATATATATATATATATATATTTTTTTTTTTTTTAAGAAGTGATATAAATATTTTTATACAAAACAGACAAATTTAATTACACACGTATAACGTGTGTGGATAGACTAGCTAAATATGATGATTACAAGTAAAGAGGAGTACGTGAGAGACTAAAAATGATGTTAAAAATTAGTTTCCTTACCAAAATCATTGTCTTTTTCAATTGGTCGATTTGATAACTTCTTGAATTTTTAAAATTTGAGTTGGAGTTGCATCGTCTTGATTGTCTTGGTTTTGTCTCAAAATCTCAACTGAATCGATTGCAATGTAACAATTTCAGTTCGGTTTGATTTTAACAAATATCCCTAGGAAAATCAAACCTAGCTAATTTTGAAAGATTTGGTTTGATTTGGAACAGGTGGTTTGGACTTGAGTGAGTTGAGTCCACTCTCCCACCCCTTAGACCAACTCCAACCGTTGGTGTAAGTCCTAAATTTTCTCTTCTATTCCACCCCCCCCCCCCCCCAAAAAAAACAATTTCATTTCAACCCTTGTTCTAAAATTGGGTTGTTCTAAAATTGGGTTAAGTGTTAGAACCTAAAAAAAAACCCAAATACCAGCCAAGATTTAACCCAAAATTAGTGGTGGAGCCCACATGTGAGAGTGAAAAAGATGATGTGAAGCCCAAATGCCCAAAACTCACAATTGGACTCGCCAAATGCGCCATGCACAACACCAAAGGGACCCCACCCATGTGGGCATGTCCCCCACGTGTCAAATGCCATAATAGCCTAACGACTAGTTTTGTGATCCAACGACTACATTTAAATGGGCCGTTGGTTGATCCAACGGTCCACATTCAAATATATATATTTTTTATATTTATATATTTATTGAATCTAACGACTGAAATCAAATATAATGGTACAAAAAAAAAAAAAAAAGATCTAATGGTCCAAATTTAAATCCAACAGCTAAAATTATTAAAAAAAAAAATTAACTCAAAATTCACCCAAAAACTTTATAAATACCTATGCTTATATAAAAGATGATTGAAGGTTTGTGTTTCATGTGTGTAGGTTTGTGTTTTATGTGTTTCATGTGTTTTGGTATGTGTTTCGTGTCTCATGTGTTTCGTGTGTTTGCTGTGTTATACATCTCTATCATGTGTTTTGTATGTTTCATATGTTTTGTGTTTATACATCTCTATCATGTGTTGACTTAGTGATTTTTCAATATTTATCGAAATTTAAATATTTTTAAATTAAAATGTTCATAAAATTAATTTAGGATAGGCTACATAATTTTTTTTAAAGTTAATTGGAAAAAAATAGCCTAAATTTATTTTTTAATAATCTGGGGCTAAAATTAGGCTAGAAGGGTTGGAGCAGAAAAACTGTTTATAAGTTAAAACCTAAATTTTTTGGGCTAAAAATTTTAGGTTTTACTCCAAGGGTTAGAGATGGTCTTAGTGTAGTGTAGATACTATCGTTTGTCAAAACAAAACAAAAAACAACTATAACATGTAATTATCCTAAAATCGACATGCCATCAACTTTCAAGGGTAAATTACAATTTGTACCTTCAAATTTTGGTATAAGTATAAACTTATACCTTATTTTTAAAGCATTACAATGTCATACATCCTTAATTTACTGAATCTTTTACATTAGACTATTACCATTCCTATTTTTTTGAGCACCAAATTTAAACTTTTTACCCTATAATATCCATCTCTCTCTTCTCTGCTCCAATGTGGCATTGGGACAGATATACATACATCCACTGGCTTCCGAGGCAAAGTAAGGGAAATAACAACACATTTCCCGGGCATCAGGCGTACTAATTTCGACATGGAAAACTATCCGGCATTACCAAACAAGTTACTCTTTAATCTTAATGATTCCGGGAGGCCAGCCGGCAAAAACCTCGCTTCTTCAGTACATGACATCGGCTTTGCGCATTAGTTGATCACCCGCTTCGATGATTCAGTTACTGCTTCGGGTTCTGGGGCTTATCCTCTGCAGAGAAAATGTGCGTCAAGTCACAATTAAGAAACATACTAAACCCAAAACGCAGAGAGATAATGTGCTGCATTCTGTTGAATTGAATATGCAAGCAGAAAAAACAATCGTTCGAAACTGTAGAAAGTCGGATCAACTATCCACTGGCCACTTGAGAGAAAATTAAGGAGGGGAGAACTCACGAATCGCTTTAGGATCTCTATGTACAAAGAAGCTTGCAGCGACGATAATGTAGCAAAGAATGAGCATTAGTCCTTTGAAGTAATTAGATGTTCCCTCCTGCAAGTTCAATTTCAGTCCATTTGAACACATTACACAAAGGAAAAATGGTCGCTGTAGCGCCCGCTGACACAAGGAAACACGGCACAAACCCTGAAATTCATGTGTTTCTAGTGCGTTTGTGCACAAAGAACTTGGAGTATTTCCTATAAAAGCAGTCAAGTAAGAAATCGAAAGATTTATGATTTGCTCAAATGACGAACCTGCAGCATGAAGGCTACAACCAGAACAGTTATGAAAAGCGTTGCTGTCTCAAACAGTTGGAAATCTAAGTCCATAGGGCACCCCATGCACCACCCAACCACAACACAAAACGGAATCTGCAGCAATCAAAAAGGAAACCATCACGCCATCACATTTATGCACTGTAGAGATAAAATCATCGTGAAATGTCAGTGTAAATGCATATGTATGATAGATGGTACTCACTCCAAACATTGAGATCTGCGTTGATGAGCCTATCGCCACTCCCAAAGTAATATCCTGCATCAAACGTTAAGCCAAAGTTAACAAGGAAGCGATGATAAGTCATGAGCGATTGTATTTATACATGGAACCGATGGGACAACCACTTACAAGCTTGTCTTTCATGGCAAACATAACAGCACCGGCGTGCTCTGCTGCATTTCCAACAATTGGGAGCAGAATAACACTAATAAATGCAACTGGGATGCCCATTGCAACAGATGCACCCTGAAAAAAAATTACAGAAACAACACAAGAGATTCCTCACTACAAACCCAACAAGAATAACTAACAAATTTCAAATCATCCAAAATCGGAAGAGGATAAGACAATGATTTAACAAGACATGTTACCTCTATAGCGTTAACCAAATATTCCGAGAGGACTGAAATCCACGCGGTTAGAATTGATAGCCATATTACGGATTCCCACTTAGTGATCTCGGGAGCCTCTTCCTCATCTGAATTTTCTTCGGTTTGATCCTCTGCCTGGTTTTGAACCAAATTCACATACACCATTAGATCACATAGAGGAGAACTTGCATAAACTCCACTAAATCAAATTCATCACACTTGAACAGTGAAAGCATCAGAATTAGTAACACGGTTTGAGGTCTGTATTGGCGAAGACTTGTACCAACCTGATTAACTGGAATATACAAATTATGCTGGCTTCTCAATTGGAAAAACAGAAATGAAGCATAGGCGACGAGCATAATGCAGCTAGTGAATCTCGAAAGGGATAACTCAGACTTCCCATAGTGCAACTCTGTCCGAGTAGAGTGTAGTACTGCTGGAAAGAGCAGACCCATGACTGCCATCAATAGCAATCCAGAGTTCACTCCAGCAGTTCCCTGAGAATATAGACATTCTGAGCTTTATTTGCAAGCAAATGAGATGGACGGTAGAAGAGCGAAAATAAAACCAACTAAACAAGTGCTCCTTTTTCAGACGAAAATATACCTTGTTGAACACTTGCTCCGTCTTTGAATGCACAAGTCCACCTGCAAAGAATGCACATCCAAGCACAAGCAACATGTTTGACAGGATCGAGCCTAGTAAGGACTGTTGAACAACACGAATCATGCCGCGTTTCAGAGCATAAATTGATATTATCAATTCCGTTGCGTTTCCAAAGGTGGCATTTAAAAGACCTCCAACTGCAAAATTAACAAATTGATAATTTTACTATCATAATAATCCACAAAGTCCATTCTGAATATCCGATGCTATTTTACTGAGCTCAAAACCAAACTTAAAAGTTTTAAGATACTCAAATCCTCAAGCTTTTCGTAAAACCTAAAGATGTAAATGTAACGGGGAATATAAAAACGGGTAGTTGTTTTAGCAACAGCTTACCTGTTGGTCCAGTATAGCAAGCCAGCTGCCTGCATCAAAAGAAGCCAATCTGTATTAGGTATTTAGGTACTCTATAATGCACATTAACTGCAAAGTTGGTATGGATGTCGGGCTCAAGTGCGCGCGGAACAAACGCTAATATGCTACAATACGGTAACAAATGTTGGTTCTCTAACACATCAAGTTACTGGAAATGTTCAGTCAAGGCTGTTGGATTCCCACTCGTAAACATTATGTTAGCAAATAAAGAAACTACAAAAAGAATGCAAGAAGTTTTACTCTGTTGCGTATCCTAATCGCTCAGCCAAAGGTATGATTCCCAACAAGCTTAAAAGAAAGACCCAACCCTGAAATGCATTAAGAAGAATCAAATAACCAAGCCTACAATCGTGTGATGATCCAAAAGATTCACACACAGAAAAATATAATGAAACTCACATGATGGCCGGTTAATTTATCAACAACGATTGCCAAAGGGCCAAAAGGCATGAGCAGGTTAATTTTGGCAGAGAAAACTACAATCCTGATGCTGTCAGCCACACTGTTCTTCAGAACATGGGGACAACAATCATTTGCACCACCAGAATATAGAGCTCTGAGGGGAGCCTCATCCAAAGAATGTTTTTCAGGACCAACTAGGCTCTGGTCCTCGAACTCAAACGCTGATTTGGATTGCGTTGATCCCATCTGTGGAATCAAAATCTTTGTTACCAAAAAATTATCACTGGTATCGAAGGAAATGTATGCCTTTGATACCACATACAACTAAAGGATTAAAAAACTGACCTCAACATGGGAATTTATTTTTATTGTGGATGCATCGTTGTTCCTGCTCTTGTTGTCGTCGTTGTTGTAACGGTTATCAGAATCCATGAGGTGGAAGTACAATTCTATGCCAAGAAATCAACAAGAATTCCATCGTCGAACACGAGCAGATTCACTGTTTCATCGCATTCTCCACAATGAACACATACATAGAAATAAAAATGTTCCATCTACAAATTCTATGCCTATACATATACTCATAATACACATAACATCTATGTATAAGCTCTACCTGTTACTGATAAAGTCCATATCGCAGACCTGGGCGTAAGCAAGTTGTTTACTGCAGTGTGCTTCCCTTCTGCACCCAAGTTCGATTTCGAATCCCCCTCCCTGTTATTTGGTCTACATTAAAGTATCCCTTGAATCAGAATAAAGCCCATATGAAAATTTTGTGAACAACGTGAATCTAACAACCCTAATAAAAAGAAAATCACGCATCAATACATACATATATATATATATATATGAATTTATTCTTAACCTGTTTCAAACAGAACCCTAATGAAATTCTGAATAAGAACACAAAAATTTCTCAGCCCCAAGAAACAAAACAAGAACAAGGATCGTGGAAGTATAGAGCTAACCTTGTGGTCTAACGTGTGTGTGTATATATTTATATATTGATTCTCCAATGTGAACACTAAAAAATCAGATCCAAAAAAACATGCATGCATATGTTAGCAGCAGAAATGTAATTTAATTTCTTTTTTTTGTAAAAAAATTCTGGGATTCCTTTCAAACTAAACAATGAGACTAATGGAAGGCAGAAGATAAAAAGCAAAGATTCAAGGAAGGTAGTTATTAAGTGCAAATTTGCAAATTGATGGTTTTGATAAAAGAGGAAATTAAACAGCTTTGACAGATATTGATATGTGAAATATGGTCCACAGCCATCCGTGGGAACCCGCCATTTTCGCCCTAACAAATATCATTGTCTCTCCTTTCCTATTTTCAGACATGCAAATGCAATGATTTCTTTTTCTTCCGTTCTTTTCTTTTTCTTTCGATCCAATCACTTTACTTTATTCCGTTCTCATAGGAGAAAAAACGTTTGTACCGTTGACACCGACCAATCCCGTCAATCTCAAATTTGCCATATTAAGCACTATATACATGTTTGGAATTGCTTTTAAAGTGATTGAAATAGTGATGAAAGTGTTTTTTTTAGTTTCAAAGCATTTGAAGTGAATTGTGGAAGAAGCTCCATGTCACATCCTAGACCGGTTCCACTATAGCACGATATTGTCAGCCCCGACCACGGCCTCACGGTTTTGTTTATGGAAACTAACACGAGAACTTCCCAGTGGGCCATCCATCCTGGGATTCCTCTTGCTCGAACTCGCTTAACTTCGAAGTTCCGATGGAACCCGAAGCAAGTGAGTTCCCAAAAGATCTCGTGCTATAGGAGGTGGGCATGTACATATAAAGCACATCACCCCTTCTCTGTTGGTCGACGTGGGATGTTACAATCTACCTCCCTTAGGGGCCCGACATCCTCATTGGCACACTCGCACCGAACGGTAGAGTGGCTTTGATACCATTATGTCACATCCTAGTCCTGGCTCTGCCATAACACGATGTTGTCTGCTTTGGGCTTCCGCCATGCCCTCAAGGTTTTGTTTTTATGAACTCACGCGAGAACTTCGCAGTTGGTCGCTCATCCTGGGAATGCTCTCGCCCGAACTCGCTTAACTTCGGAGTTCTGATGGAACCCGAAACCAGTGAGTTTCCAAAAGACCTCATGCTATATAGAGGTGGGCATGTACATATAAGGCACATCACCCCCTCTCCGTTGATCTATGTGGGATGTTACAATCCACCCCATTAGGGGCTTGACATCCTCGTCGGCACACTCGCACCACACGGCAGAGTGGCTCTGATACCATTCTGTCACATCCCAAACCGGCTCTGCCGTAGCACGATATTGTCCACTTTGGGTTCCGACCACACCCTCATGGTTTTGTTTCTGAGAACTCACACGAGAACTTCTCAGTGGGTCACCTATCATTGGATTGCTCTCGCTCGAACTCGCTTAACTTCGGAGTTCCGATGGAATCCAAAGCTAGTTAGTTCTCAAAAGATCTCATGCTATAGGGGGTGGGCATGTACATATAAGGCATATCACCACATTGACCAACGGAAAGGGGGAGATGTGCCTTATATGTACATGTCCACCTCCATATAGTACGAGGCATTTTGGGAACTCATTGGCTTCAGATTCCATCGGAACTCCGAAGTTAAGCGAGTTCGGGCGAGAGTATTCCCAGGATGAGTGACCTACTAGGAAGTGTTTGCGTGAGTTCCCAGAAATAAAATAGTGAAGGTGTGACCGGTGTTCAAAGCGGACAATATTGTGCTACAACAGAGTTGAGACTGGGATGTGATAGAATGACATTAGAGCCACTCTGCCGTGTGGTGCGAGTGTGCCGACGACGTCGTCGAGCCCCTAAGGGGGTGAATTGTAACATCTCACATCGACCAACAAAGAGGGGGTGATGTGCCTTATATGTACATACCCACCTCTTATAGCACGAGGCTTTTTGGGAACTCTTTGGCTTCGGGTTCCATCGAAACTCCGAAGTTAAGCGAGTTTGGGCGAGAGCATTCCTATGATGGGTGACCTACTGCGAAGTTCTCGTGTGAATTCCCAGAAACAAAACCGTGAGGCTGTGGCCGGGGCTCAAAGCGGACAATATCGTGCTACGGCGGAGCCGGGACTGGGATGTGACACTCCAATTATGTGCTTTTTGTAAGAAACACTTCAAGTGCTTTTCCAAATTCCACTTGCATTATTATTAAAGATTGATTCCAAAAGCACTTTTATGGAAAGTGTTTTCAATTATTTTAAAAGCAATTTCATAATAAATTTTGGGCTGAACTGCATAATTGAACAACCACAATAATTTGATATCAAATTCAACACGTACCTCTACTTATAAATGCAGAAAAATACTACTTAAATATAAATTGTAATACTATATAAGTATATAGTAACAAATGTAATTTTTGATTTTTCAAGAAAAGTTATGTACTTAACTTGTGATCCAATTGCCACTTAGTCTGATGATATAATAGTATTTCTCTTCACTTGTAAGTGAGAGGTCTTAGGTTCGATTTTCGCCAAATGCAAATTTAAACTACATTATTACCAACCGATTATGAGGTAAAGTACATCCCATTTCCCATTAGTGTAAGATAATACCGGCTCAAAAAAAAACAAAAAACTTGTGAACCAGCTTCCTCCAAGATTTTGGATCACCAAGGTAAATTCTGATGTTAGCTAATGTTAGCTTCCCTGCAATTTCAAAGTGAGGGCTATCATCAAGTTTTTAATCATTTGTATTCTAATATATTTTTTATAGGGCGATAATCTAGCCAACTTGAATTTGGATGCGAGAGGGCGGCACTATGCCGTAGCATTAGATATAATCCATGTATACACGTGTCTAATAAGTTTTTTAGTTATTGCTGAACTATAATTTTGGATGAGGCTATGTTTAGCCCTTCCATTTAGATATTACCTTATACCAATTTATTCAAACTCATGGCTCTCCAACAACAATCGAGGTCTGCTTGTAAAAAAGAAGCAAAATCTCTTCTTATCAATTTACTCAAGCAAAAATCAAACTCATGTAAAAAGAATAAATAACAATCAATCTCTTATTATTTATTCAAAGATATAAATCAGTAAATGCAGATACGATCATACGATATCATTTTACATTTCACATCAAAACCAAAACGAAAGATTGATCGGAGTACAACAACAATCAAACTAATTTTCAGTTCCACTTAAAACAATTGTCATATTTGTTGGTGTCAAAATTAAACCTGCATGGGCCATTTGGTACTATACTATAGTAACACAAACGACAATCATCTCGGTCTCTCTTGTCTATGTATATATCGAACCACTTAAAATTATTTGGCCACGCAAAACTGCAGTAGTATAGCGTACTGTCCCATACGTTAGGTCGAAAGCTAAATTCAAACCAATCATGAAGGGCAAGCACTTTTTCACCAAGATCATCATTTTTGGATTTGCAATGGACGGTTAGGGTTGAGTTTCCGCCCAAATCATTTGTCACTTTGATGTGTCTTCTCGAACCTACTCCCGCACAATACATGGTCATTGTGAAAAATAGAAGCAGCACCAGCAACAATGTGGTTCCAGTGAACGAAGCCATGCTAGTTTTCCTGAAGAAATTTTATCTTGATGGAAATTAAAACCGATGCACAAGTATGTGCACAGTGCACCTCGTTCTTTTGTAGTTGCTAGTTAAGGTTTCTTATGGTTTCACATTTGGTATAGTGACCTTTTTTGGAATGCTATGATTATGGTAATACATGAGGTTCATAGAACCTAATAGATTAGGACCAAACTTCATGGATATATACAAAGAATCAGGGATAAAAGATAAGAATTATGGTGCTGGCTGAATATTTCCAAATCTGCAGTAAAATCCTTCTGCACAATTCTAGCTAGGTAATTTTTTGTTATTATTATTTTTTTTTATCGAACTAGGTAGTCCATTACCAAATGGATAAATAAAGAAATTATAATTCTTGCAATCAATGGAGTTTAAAATTTTTACACCACACGGTTCACACCATCTCTCTTATCCCTTGTCCTCCAACAACTTCCTTCTAAGCACACAAGGGCCTCCTTTGGTATAGAGGACCAGATAGGAATGGATTATCCTCCAAATTCAATGTATATTGAGGATAAACGAAAATAATTTTTTATATTGAGACGATTTTAAGGGGATTAGATTTGAAGGAAACATCTTCATTCTAATCCTCCTGTTTTGGGAAAGATTGGAATTGATAAGTTTTCTCTGACCTTCAAGTTTGCCCTTATTATTTTTTCTTTTTTCCTTCAACCTAGCCTAAAAATAGTGGCTAATACCCTCATATCAAACAAGGCTAGTATATATGTATGGAGGTTGGCATGTTAGTGCAGGAAAGCTCTACCCTTCACATCTTCCACAAGATAATAGCTAGTGAATAAATAGTGTCATATGTTACAACAATGTACGTATGACATTACATAATTATATGCATGAAATGCATGTGAAATGTCACCATAAACTTTCAAAAATAAATGAATATAACAATTGAACCCTTATAATTTATTCCCGATATAAATTATTACATGTGAATACTAGTTCATCTTCCATTACATAACCTCCAATTTAACCATAGAAAACTAGATTAACTCCACATAAAGCATTTGCTGTACTTTTGCTCGTCCCAGTCGTACCTGCACGGAGCAGCTGTGGTAACACTCCAGTAACACTTGCTACAATACACTTTCTCTCTCTCATGATTATATATTTGGAACCAATGCGATGCACCTGGCCACTCAAAACTGCAATCAAACCTCGTTATGGTGATAAAGCTAGGTTTGAAGTGGAATTCAAAGGAGGCGTTCGTTGCGAGCGTTTGGAGACCAAGATCATCGTCCTCGGATTTACAGTGAAGCTTGAGGGTCTGGCCCCCCTCCAAATTATTTGTGACTCTAACATGTCTTGTCTTGAATGCATCACAAATGGTGACTGTGAACAAAACCAGCGTGACTAGCAGCAGTGCTGAACTTCCATTGAACCAAGCCATGCTATATTGCTTGTTAATTTGAAGACAATTAAATTTTAATTCTCTGTGAAAAAAAAACACCAGAAGAACTATGATTTTATAGTTGCTAGCTAGAGGTACCACTACAATCCACAAGGTCTCACATTTGCAATAGTGGTTTTTTTTTGGGCCAGGTACATTTGTTATCAAATTCTTGATTATAAATTTTGGTAATATACCAAGTAATGGTGATATTTATTACCCTATTTATCATCTTTCAATTAATTTAAATTTCGATATATGTGTAATGGATAGATACAAATTTTAAAATTTAAAACTCATTCAATGGTAATAACTAGGCTGGTCAGCATTACCACTTAAAGAGTGGTGAGAAAAAATCCACCATAAAATTATTAGTAACAATCTTGTTAGAATAATTTACAATTACAGAAAGAAATATAATTATTTCATAGCAATGATTTTAACTAAAAATGTTGAAGAGCTTTAATGTGTAGTTACCATGTAATTAAGATCTAAATTCTACAAACAAAATTATCCCGCTTGGGAATTTTCTTTATACCAGCAATATTATTCTTCTTTAAACCTGAATTAAGCTGGAGAAAGAGAATTCGAATTTAGATGTACAATAAACACATATATATTCTCTCTATTTAATTTTGAAAATCATGTACAGTTGGTTAGGAACACTAGGAAATGATAGGAACAAGGACATAGAAAAGAAAATGATAGCTACGTAGATGAAGTATTACTACCTTCTTTTAGCAGTATTTTCTCTAGTTATAAGTAAGAGAGATCATAAGTTTTTGACTCCTGTGGATGATGTGTTCGATAAATTATTATGACTTGTTTATTGTAGAGACGGACTTGCATAACATGAGTTCATCGCTATGTAGCGTCTTGTGCCAATAACACAAAGATATGTGTTACCTTTTATACATATGTCATTGTGTTATGGGCACGAAACGTCACCGTAGTAATGAACTCGTGTCATACATATTGTGTAACATTCCACATCGTCCAGAGGAGTGATCCTTAAATGTATATTCTCATCCCTACTTAGCACGAGGCCTTTTGGGAACTCACTAGCTTCGGGTTCCGTAGGAACTCCGAAGTTAAGCGAGAAGGGGGCTAGAGCAATCCCATGATGGGTAACCCACTGGAAAGTTGTTTATGAGTTTCCAGAAACAAAACCGTGAGGGAATGGTAAGCCCAAAGCAGACAATATCGTGTTACAGTGGTGGAGCGGCTCCGGAAAGTGATCTGCCCTGGACCGGGATGTGACATATTGTATAGGCTCCTTGTATGACTTTACTCAATTATTCGATGAATTATTAATTATAACTATCTCATGGCTCATATTCTTCAACTTTAATAGTAGACTATTGTCCAATTATAATTAAAAATGAATGATAAGGGACTTGTAGTTTATTTGATCATAGAATTCTCTATCGCACCCAAACTCACAAGTTCGAAACCCTCCTTCACAATTTTACTTAATCGGAAAAAAAAAAAAAAAGAAAAAAGAAAGTAGTGGATGAAGGGGAATATGTAAGGCAAGATGAGATCATGCAAAAAATTGAACAAAAGAATTCGGGCCAACTACATTTGACCGTGTTGAGGTTTGTGGAGTTTCAAAATGGACCATGAAATTTCAATCTTCTCATTTTACATTATAATATATTAAAATCATATCAATTTATATCCTTGGTTGGATCAATTGCTTAATATTTTATTAAATTGATGACATAATAAATGTGAGATTCTTATAAGAGCTAACGTGCAAATCCATTTACATTATATTGACAAATTTTTTTATCAATTTAATAAAAGATTAGATAATCAAAGAAGCAAAAGGTGTAAATTATAAAACTCAAAACTTCAAAGTTTAATATAAAAACTAGAACCTCGTGATTCTTTCTTAAAAATATCAAATTTGAAGGCAGTAAAATGCAGTTAGCTCAAAATTTTCATACGAAATATTCTCACTCGGCAAAATACCTCGTCACTAATACGACGTCGTATCACTGTCTTGCACAGTACGAGCGCATGGTCGCACCGAGAGAGCTTCAAAGGAAGCGCAAAAGCAGGACAGTTTATCCTCGCCCCCTCCCCGCCAAAACCTCCACAATTTCAACTGCAGCGCCGCCTCGAATCTTCCCTCAGGTGGGTTTCTTCTAAATTCCTCAAATTTCAAATATTTTCCCCCTTTTTCTGCAACAATTTTGACGGATTATGATGCTGGTGTGAGTTCTTAGTCGTACAATTTGAAAAATGGGTGTTGAAGAATCTATGGAATTGGATGGATTGTTAGAAGTAGAGAATTGTGTTAGGTGTAACGATGGTGGTTCTGGAAGTAGGAAATTGTTAGTTTGTAGTGAGAAGGGATGCCCAATTGCTCTCCATGAGGAGTGCATGTGTGCAAGGCCTGTTTTTGATCAATTGGGAAAGTTTTACTGCCCGTATTGCGCGTATAAGCGGGAGTTTTTTCGGTGTCGGGAGTTGGGGAGGAAGGTAATGGTGTCCAAGAGTGTGTTGTCTAAGTTTATTGATGCAGGAGAGGGGGAGGATTGTGGGTGTGAGGAGGGCGGGCGGGGTGGTGTTGAGGTTCGGGGTCAGTCTGTGGGAGTAGAAGGAGGTGGAGCTGCAGAAGGGGGAACCGACCAGAGGAGGGAGATTGAAGATGTAAGGGGTGAGGAGAGCATAGATGAGGACCCTGATGAGGAGGAAATTGTTGAAGAGACACAAGAAGAGGATGCAGAGCCAAGAGAAACAATGAATAACGACAATGTACATGATGGATTAGACCGAAAAGATGAGGAGGATTGTCGAAGGGTGTCAGAGGAGAGCAAGGGAGGAAGTGATGATGAAGAACAAGAAGAGGAGGCAGAGCCCCAGAGTGGTTGTTGTGTACAAGAAATGACGAATAATCACAATGCACATGGATTATTAGACCAAAGAGATGAAGAGGATGGTAAACAGGTTCCTGAGGAGAATGAAGGCGAAAGTGAGGATGAAGAACAAATGCAGTCAGTAGAAAAGGAGGTGCCAGGAAATTCAACTGTCGTGCCTGAGTCTGATGAGTTAGATACGGGGTCTCCACTAGTGAGGAAGAAGCGTTTCAAACAGAAGAGTAAAAGGATAAAACAGCCTCAAAATGTAGCTTCCTTAAGGACAGTACCCTCTCCATCAAGGGAATCATCATCTCGTCAAACAAGGTCTGCAGAGGAGCATGCTAAAAACCAAAATGGGAAAGCTAAAACCTTTTCCAAGAAGGAAAGAGAAAATCAGGAGTCTGCAAGGTGATCATGAGTTATGTTGTCAATTTTATGTCTATAGTTTATGAGGTTATCAATGTTGTTTGATATGTTTTATATGATAAGAGTAGATGGAATGATTCGATATTCTCATACAATTATTAATTGGTAATCATTTATTTCTCCTATTATGCAGAAACTTAGTACTTCCTAATGTGAAGGGTAAGAGATCAAAATGGACAGATGAAGAGATAAAAATGTTGAAGGTATTGTTCCTCCTGATTTTCCAGAATATGTTTCATCATTTGAAATTTTATCAGCTAACTATTGTCTACATTCCTTCCCAACAACAGTATGACGATGCCTGATTTCATCTCTCAAGTTATTAAATTCACCTTTTTTTTTGCTACAACTAGAAAGTGATACTGCCTTGTTCGGGTGGAAAATTTGGATTAGGAGTCAAAGTCAATTATCATACATATTGCTATTATACCCTGGATGAGAGGATATATTGACATGGCATGCACTTTAGGAAATGTGGAACAAAACAAGCTACAAAATACAACTCCAAACCAATCTTTGTTTTCTCTGTGTCAATGGCGAAACTGTGACAGTCGGTTATTTATGCCTACATTAGGCCTTAAATGTCAATGAAGAAAACGAAGCTTAAAGCACACCTCTATAAAAATTTCAACTTCTTTGTCTTTTACATAGCCTTTTAAGTGCTGACTCTCTCTCTCTCCCCCTAACCTCTATCTCTCCTTTGGATTTTGAAAGAATTTTTGAAAAAAATTGCAAAGGTAAATAAGAAAAAGGAAAAAAAGTTCGCTGGCTAGGGATAAAAAATGCTGTGCATGACTCATTTGAGTTCAGTACTTTCATATGATTTGTTTAAGTAGTTGGAGTCTAACTTAAGTAATCTTCGGCTCCAGGAGGGAGTGAGAGTTTGTGGAACATCAAACGGAAAGATGCAGTGGAAGAAAATTTTGGAATATGGTCATAAAGTGTTTCACAAAACCCGTGAACCAGTTGATCTTAAAGATAAATGGAGGAGGAGCTTGGGGAAAGAAAATAAAGACAACGCACATGATGGATTCGACCAAAGAGATGAGGAGGATGGTATAAGGCTGTCTGAGGAGAATGAGGGCGAAAGTGAGGATAAAGAACAGATACGATCAGTAGAAAAGGAGGCGCCTGGAAAGTCCACTGTTGATTCAAAATCTGAAAAGTTAGATACTGGGTCTCCTCTGGTGCGAAGCAAGCAACTCAAACAAAAAGCTAAAACGAAAGAACAGCCTCCAAATGCTAAAACCTTTTCCAAGAGGGAAAGAGAAATTCAGGAGTCTTCAAGGTGACCGTGAGTTGTATTATCAATTTTAAGTCTAGTGTTTATGAGGTTATGTATGGAGTGTGGTATGTAACTATGAAAATGGTCATTTGATATTCTCATAATTACTAACTGGTGGTCATTTATTTCTCCTATTCTGTTGCAGAAACTTGGTACTTCCTAATGGGAAGCGGAAGAGATTAGATTGGACAGATGAAGAGTTAAAAATGTTAAAGGTATTTGTTTCTTGTTGGCTTCCTGCCTTTATGGAATAGATTTATCATCTGATATAGTGTCAGCCAATTATGTCGAAATTCCTGCCAAACAGTATCGTGAACCTGATTTATCTCTATTTATCAAATTTGGCCACAATTAGAAACTGGTACTGCTGCATTCTATGATACATCTCTCCCTTTCTCTTTTATTTAGGAAGGAAAACAAATTGGGTTAGGAGTTTAAGTCAGCTATCATAGATTTTTCTATATACCTTTGATGAGTGGAAATTTATATTGACATATCATGTGCTAGATCATGACACACGCTTTTGGAAATGTAGGACAATCTACAAAATACAACTCCAAACCAACTTTTTTCTTACTTGTCTCAACGGCGAAACTGTGTCAGTGGGGGTTTTTATGGGTAAATTAGGTCTTGGTATCAATAAAGAAAAACAAGCTTAAAGCATACGTATATTAATGATATAAATCACTGGCAGTGTCAAAGTTTTCAAATTCTTTGTCTTGTACGTAGCCTTATATATGCTGAGTTGTTTTTTTTTTTTCCCCGGACTGTGAAAAGTTCTTTAAAAAAATTTACTTCAGAAATTTGCAAGGGTAAATCAGAAAGAGGTTAAAAACTTTGCTGGCCAGGGTATAAAAAATGGTGTTGCATGAGTGAGTTGAGCTCGGCACTTTCTCCTGATTTCTCAAGTAGTTGAAATCTAACTCAAGTAGTCTTCGATTCCAGGAGGGAGTGAGACTTTATGGAACATCAAATGGAAAGATGCAGTGGAAGGAAATTTTGGAATATGGTCATAATGTGTTTCATGTAACCCGTCAACCAGTTGATCTTAAGGATAAATGGAGGAGGTACTTTTGCGAAAAAGCTAGAAAAAGGTGAACATCACTTTGGACTCGCATAAAACAGGTAACTACAGTATCCGCAGTTCATTTATTTTATACTTTTGTAGAATAAATATGTGGATCAATATTTATGTAGGTTTTTAGTTTTGTATATCATATTTGAGCACTTTGGAAGCAGAAGGGTTTTGGGTTTGCCATAATAGTAAAGATATTGTAGCTAGTCTTTCTTTGTTAACCACGTGCTCAAACTATATTTATATTCAAATTCGAAAACTGGCCACTAGATTATCCACAGATGTGATATTGTAGCTAGTCTTTCTTTGTTAACCACGTGCTCAAACTATATTTATATTCAAATTCGAAAACTGGCCACTAGATTATCCACAGATGTGCGTCCGAGTAGAATGATTTTGTTATAGCTAGTGCCAAAGGACATTGAGTAGTATGCTTCTAACTTTCTAACGGTTTGGGATGCCTCGAAACCTTGTAACAAGTGGTATTAACAATCTTATCTTACATATTGCCTGCAAAATCAAATCATAATGCCTGCACCATTCACTTATCGTCAATTTCTAGCCTTCGATAGAAACCAAGGAATTCAAGCAGTAATTATTAATATTATCCCAACTTTCTGTCAAGTACATGCAACCCTGTTATTTGAGCTGTCTGGTCTTATACACATGGTGTAACCAATTCACTCTCATATCCTAAATTCCTTAATTGAAAATTGATGCCTCGGAAGCCAATCTCTTGTCTATAACATTTACTAATTATACGAAACTGATGTGTTTCTACAGGTAATGGCAATGTTGGTCAAGAATGTGCTATATGTGTGCATTAGAACGGTTGATGAGTGGGATGGAATCGACCAATTTGTACGTCAAAGATAATTTATGTGGTCGGCATTTCACTTCAACCCGGTGTTAACAAAAGCACGGCATTAAACCCGAAAGAAAATTCAACCTCAAGGTTCAAAACGCAAGTATTGTTATGAAGCTGCCGAAACTTGTCAGCCAAGGAGCTTCAGCCATCGAGGATTTCCTTTCGTAGATCACATTAGGACCTTTTTCACTTGTGTAGTTTTATATAAAGGATGTATCAATGTCATAATCTTGAAGTTTCAGATACCAAACTCTGTGAACATGGGTATGATTACGATGTTTCTTGAGCAATAAAGTGTTCTAGTTTTTGAGCATCACTTTCCCGAGTGACTTCGTGAGGTATTGTAAGATGTGAGGTGAACAATTGACAAAAAACTTTTATTTGAGATAGAAGTGGAGCATCTACAGAGCAAATTCCTGAGGTCTCTTCCTCAATAATTACATCGTAGTTCACTGAAATGTACGTTACATGAACAGAAGAGAGAACCGCTCAAAGTGCTCGTTAAGTTGCTGTAGCAGCGTACTTGTGGCTCCTCTCAGCCCAGTAACCAGAAAGAACCTCCGCTGTCAGCATTCAACGAGTGGAAAATAAGGTGGCTAGATTACCGTTCCACTAGGAATCAAGGCATCCTTGATCACTGTGACAATCGCGCTCTTTATGAAATATCCGTCTGTTTCCCTTGCTGCTTCTTGCACATTGTCGATATTGATAATCTGTAATTTATAATCATCGATGGTCAGTTTCACAAAGATAAAATATAAACTGTTTCGTGTGATCAACTAAGAAGAATAAATTTATAATATGAAGGTATGTCCAACACGACCTTGGCATCGAATGTAAGCAGGAAATAGGAAGTACACAAAGGAATCGGTTTTAAATTTCCATTTAATAAGTTTTAATAAGTTTCAAATCGGCTATAAAATTTAGACTTCAAATTAATAAACTGAAAAGATCATGTTATGCAGACAATATCCTCACCTTAACATTTTCTCCAATTCGAGCATTCTTATCAATTATAGCTCTCCTAATGTGAGAATTCTTGCCAATACCGATTGGAACGCTACCCTTTGCAGCTAGAAACCTCCTGTCAGCATCAGTCTGGGGCAGTCACAAGAATGGCATCATTATAATCTATCCAACCCATAGAAATGTCAACCCTACAGTGACAATATTTGAAGGGAAGTCCATTCATCTTGATAAAACGAAAACATGTTTTATTGGGTCATGCCTTAAAATAAAAAGAAGCAGGTTATACCTCATAGTAGTCAGCTCCCATCAGTAATGTGTCTTCAATGACAGCACCCTCCGCTATGCAAGACCGAAGCCCAACGACTGAATGGTGAATTTTACAGTTCTGTGTTTACGAAAAAAATAGGGTTGGGTCAAATGAGCAGGACTGCAATACATTATTCTGATCTCTATTTCTTTCAACAATAGCACATGGATGTAAGTATTTCCGAAATCGAAGAAAACACGGGACTAGGATATGACATTATAATGGAACATTTTAGCAAAATGATGAATATTTCTACAAGGAACTTACCTTTATTACACATCCCTCGCCAATAACACTATCTGTGACATCAGCATCAAGCATTTTTGATGGGGGTAAATACCGAGGTTGGGTGTAGATTGGGGATGAACGATCATAAAAGCTGCAGTATTAAGTTCGAAATTAGGCAGGAATATTAAATCGATATCAAACTGATAGCATAACATATCAATTGGCCCAACAAAACAGATAACAAACAAGTTATAGAATAAACGGTACCTGAAATCTGGAACTGGTTTTTTTGTTATCCCCAAGTTTGCATTGTAGAAAGCTTCAATGGTACCAATATCTTCCCAGTAGCCATCATACAGATAAGCTTGAACCTGTAGGCATTACTAATTAGTATTCCAGTGGCTGAATATCTGGATGAAGGGAAGCAGGGTAAAGAACGTATGGAACTGGGAAATACTATCATATAAAATCAATTTAGGACATCGTCTTTTTCAGTAGAAAGGGATTTGTTCAGTTTTCAATGAACGATATTTGCAATTTTGTAATACCAGACTATAATGAAGTTCCGATTGTTAATTCTGCATAACAAGATTTAATAGAACTTGGGTGTTTCAACTGAACAAGAGCTTGAGACTAGTCCATCCAATACACTTCACAATTATTCCAATCTTTTCCCCCCAAAGTGGACGATGCAAAAGAACCTCTTTTGATAGATCGTAACATAAAAAGTACAGATTAAAATACAACATGAAAACTTACCCTCAAACCAATGGAAGTTGCACCTGGAATAACTTCACTCCCGAAATCATTTGCACCAGGAAACTTGTCTCGAAGTAGATCTAACATGACATTTTTGCTCACAACATATATACCCATACTGGCAATATAAGGCATCTCTTTAGCTCTCTCATCATCAAGACCCAAGATAGTAGTATCAACCTAAAACAAAACAGAAACAACATTTTGTATGGGTGATCAATTACACAACATAACCCACAAGCGCTCCAATTCACAATGAAACAAATACGTAATGCACTGAATAATTTAAACAATTTGCAAGTGGATCTTTCACCTTCATAGCTTTGAGTTGCTCCCCTTTGGGTTTCTCAGCAAACTCAATAATCCTTCCCTCTTCATCAATCTTCATCAAACCAAAGGCGGTAGCACGCTTCTCATCCATGGGCAGAGCAGCCACAGTGATGTCTGCATCAGTTTCTCTATGTGCCTGAATAAACCTCTCATAGTCCATCCTATACAAGTGGTCCCCAGCAAGAACCAAAAACTCCAACACATTGTGCTCCTCAAACAACCACAAATACTGCCTCACGGCATCCGCGGTGCCCTGCAAACCATCAAAACCAAATATCCAACTCAAAAACCAAACCAAAACCCAATATCCAAACTCAAAAACCAATCGAAACCCGATTCCCAACACAACCCCACAATTACTAAACAAGCGTTTAATCACCTGGAACCAATTGGGATTCTCTGGGCTCTGCTGGGCAGCAAGAACCTCAACAAAGCCTTCATTTTTGTAGCCACCCATGTTACTAGCATAAGCACGAGAAAGATGGCGATTGAGCGAAGCGGAATTGAACTGGGTCAGCACGTAGATCTTGGATACGTTGCTGTTGAGGCAATTACTGACTGGGATATCGATCAACCTGTAGTTTGCTCCCAATGGAACAGCAGGCTTCGCACGCTTCTTTGTCAATGGGTAAAGCCTCGTCCCAGCTCCGCCACCCAGTATAATCCCCAACACACTCTACACATGAACATAATCAAAATTCCCAAAATTTCAATCAAAACAAGAACGCATTATGCTCATGCCTATAACAAAAGCGCCAAATGCGATAGAGAGAGAAATGAATTACTCACCCGGCTCGCATCGGGATCAAGACACGTCTGAGAGTTCTTGGAATCGGAAACAGCTTTGGGAGACACAACCAGCGGCGTGACTCTGTTAGTGGGCGATCTCCTCAAACAGGTGCTGGGCGCGGAGATTTTGGTCCCGGAGAGATGAGAGCCGCTGAACGAAAGGCGGCTGATGTTATGGTTCTGCTTCGAGTTCGGCAACACCGACGATCGGGACGTGAACACTCCGCCTGCTGACATCGAAGAGGACGCCATTGAAGAAGAAATTCCAGAGAGAGAATTTCAGAGAGTTGCAGAGGGGAGAGAGTGGAGTGTGGGAACTCGGGAAGTGGCAGCTTTGATGATATTTCGGGACACATTTACCCTTACATTTTGGTGTTAATTACGCAAACCCGACCTCAAATTCAAAATTCCTCAATCACGGGAGAGAGGGTATTATAGAATTTTCAACCATCTGTTAATATTAGTAGTTCTTTGACGGAAGGGAAGGATCACCAAAAATCTGCGGAAATCACGAGTATTTAAATAAGTGGAGGTCATTAAACGTCAGGTAACAGTGGATGTATCACATGTGGCATGCGGGGTTTGGGCCTAAGATTTACATCACATGTCACCACTTTTGCTTACCACCGTCTATTTTTTATTCATAGATGAGCATATATTTTATGCGTGTGAATAATTTTATTTTTTTTTTGTTTTTTTATTAAGAAGTATGATTAGTTTTTAAAATTTTAAAAAAAAGTATAAAAAACGATGGTAAGATAATTTCTCTTAATAAATGCATATTTTATCTTAATATTACATAATTTCTGTTTTGTTCTTCTTATGTAAATATTGTGTATCAAAAGTGAGGGTAAAATAGAAAAATTGGGAATATGATTGTTATTTTCTTAAAAGATACAAAATTACAGTGTTTGATCTACTCAAAAGGATTTGAATTCTCTCCTGAGCTCAGGGGGGCTGAGCCTCCTGAGCAAAGCATGTTGACGGTTAAATTTTGATTTAACGATTACAATTATTATAACTATTAAAGAGATCTCCTATTTGTAGCTGTTAGATTTTGATCCAACAGTTCACGTGTTTTGCTCAGAAGGCTCGCTCTCTGAGTTCAAAAGAGGATCCAAATCCCACTCAAAATATACAATGGTTGATATGTTATAAATATTTGGTCAATGTCAATTAAATATCAATACGAGTTGATATTACTTTTGATATATACTATCTTTTTGGAGATTAATTTTCAATTGGTGTTCTGCTATGACAAATATTTCATATTCATAATTATTATGATATGCTAAAGGTAAGCATATGGCAATGCTTTATCAGTAACTGAAGGAAGTGATGATCTCATCATGCTGAGCATTTTTCTTTTAAATTTCAAAACACATCAATCAATCAGATAATGCATATCCTCCCAGGAAAATAAGGACAATGGCAGGTGAACCATCAACAAACTGGCTAGAAAGTCGTATGCGGCTATATTGATGTCTCTACTATCATACGTCAAATCAGTCAGCGCTATCTTGCAGATTTTTCAGTGTTGGTAATGTATCTGAACTAGTCACCAAAATTCTAAATCGAAAGAAAACAATTGAGTGCCAGATCGACCAGTCACCAACCCATTATTGTAACCAAGGAAACAGGCATAAACACGATGGGGTGTGGCAGTCTATTTTGTACCAGGGGCTGGGGCTCCATGCATCAGACTCTGATTGCTCCATCAGCTTCCACCACACCATTGATGTACAAGCTATATAATTTAATTTCTAAACGTGTAGAGAGCCCAACTATATTTTGATTGTCTGTTGGTTGTACAATATAGTGCTGTATGATGTCCACAATGTAAAATCAAACTTTGTCGCACTACGGAATAATAATGTCATTTTGTGTTATGAATGATAATTTTTATTATGTAACATTAGACTATAAGCTTTGATGGTTGTAGTGTAATGTGTCCTTTATTGTAAGGACAATACTTGCATCATCTTTCACCACATAAGCTATGTTCGATTTCTGTTTAACGAAGAGAATCCAGATGTAGTAGTGTTACGTCTAAGCACAATGATGTTGAACATATATCTATCAATCGCAGTAAGAACTGAAAGTGTTTTCAACTTGATGCACCCAACGATAGATCTTTCTCTCAACCTCTAATGTCACAGAGACCATATGATTCACGCCATGATTCCTGATCGTGTTTTGATTTTCTTGTTGGATTCCATGTGATTTTGTCTCTTGAAAAGGAAGGGTTCAAAGTGCTTGCCAAAAGTTCTCCAATCGCATAAAGTATCTGAATAAGAAACCATATAGAGTTGGACGATGAATATACACTCAGGAAACAGAAATATTCACAGAGAACTGAAAGGAAGAGAAAGAGAAAAGATTTATAACCTTTATATATGGGCTCTCTGCAAAGGACTGGATAACAACTCTTGCCGATGGAGAAGGATTCTCTCCCCTCTTTTTTTCCCTCCCCTTCCCTCCCCTCCTATTTGAACGGTTACAGTTAAGTTACGTCAACATCTTATATTAATTTTTTATAGAAAGAGAAAGACAAAATAGAGAATGTGATAGGAGGGGATAGAAGGGGATGGAAAGAGGAGAGGAGAGAATCCTAGTCCCTTGCCGATAGCGATAACAATAACATGTTACATATGGATCAGGATCTTCTCCTGAGCTTAAAAAACTGAGTCTGCTGAGTAAGCAATAGTGCTCGTTGAAATTTGATCCAACGGCTACAAACAGAAGGCCTTCTAAAATTTATAATAATTGTAGCCGTTTGATCAAATTTTAACGATCACGATTGTCTGCTCAACAGCCTCAATTTTTAAAGGTCAGGAGAGGATCCTGATCAGTTACATATGGCAGGTTGTTGTCCCCATTTGCAAAACTTATTCATATTCCAGGTGCATCTTTGCAATTGCAGAGTACAATGTTACTTTTTTTTTTTCTTTTTAATTTACTGTGAGGAGACAATTGTACCTCAAATAATGAGTTACTTTTTTCTATTTACAAAGAATCACAGAGGATTGCTAAAGGAGGGTGAACAATGGATGAAAAAGACAGCTGTTTGTTGCCGCAATCATAGCTTCGAGAGAAAATGAAGATACTGGCTTTCCCGCGTTCATCAGTGAATTTTTTTTTTATGTTGTTTATAGTTTCAGATGCTATATCACTCTCTTCCATGATCGCAACATTAACGTTTTTTAGAATTCTCATGTCATGTTAAGTAGAAGATGATATCCTAACATCCTTAACCACAAAGATGATAATAGGTCTTTCCACTCTTTTTTTGGCTATTGCAACCACGATGATCACGTTTTCTGCTGCCCTTCTAATTCTAATTCTTGGTAAGTCCTGAATTGTGTTTCTTGTCATACTTCTTTCAAGTGTTGCAGTCACTTTATTTGCTTGGATGCAATTCCCCCTCCTAGTTAGAATTACTGTTTCTACTTACGGTAAATGAATATTTAATAGGAATACACACAACGAATAACACAAGGATCAAGCTTACTCCGCTAGTTCTTGTGAAGATGTACATAAGCTACGCACTCAAAGACTCGTGGGATAGTTGTAATGTGGAAGACAGAGAAACACGTTCTGCCAAAACCGTTAAAGGAGTGATAATTGTGAACTCGGAAGGACATTCGATTCATGAGATACACTGCATAAGTAACTGCATATGCCCAATAAGATTGGGAGTCGATGTTCCAATAAGGAGAGCTTGAGATGTCTCCAAAATATGACGGTTTTTCCATACCGCGACACCATTTTGTTGTAGAGTTTAAGGAATGTAGTCTCATGAAGAATGTCATTCTCGTTAAAAAAACTGAGAAAGCTCCAAGTTAATATACTCACTACCATTGTCTAACCGAAGGACCTTGATGGGAAGGAAAATTGAGTGCGAGTCCTTGAGTGTGAGTCAATCGATAGAAATTCTGAAAAATAGAGCCAACCTTACTTTTATTTTACATCACATAAACCCAAGTCATCCTAGTGCAATCATTCGAAAAAGTAACAAGCCAACGTAACCCATGTTAAGTAGTAATAGGGAAATGACCCCAAACATCCAAATGAACCAAATCAAAAGGAAAATCTCTTTTATTGAAGCTCAAAGGGTAGAAAACACAATGACTTTTCGCTATAGTGCAAATATTACATTTTAACTGAGTCTTGAATACAGGAAAAAAAGTAGAAAGTAACTTTCTTAAATAACTAAATGATGCATGTACAAGGCAGCGATGCCACAACCATATCTTCTGAACTCGTTCACTATCACAATTGCGAACTTGGTGTACTTGACCAGATGCCACATCGTCTATAACCCATTCCTCTTAGTGTCACGTCTAATAATCACTCGAGTCAAGATATCTTGAAATAAGCAAAATGTGGGAAACATTAATACGGTACAATCTAATTGTTCGGTAGTTTGACCGACTGAACAAGGATTTTTTGATAAAGAAGGTATAAGCAACGTACCATGCAAAGATAAAGTGGGACTAAGAGCAATTGAGCCCGTTCCTGTAACAGGAACCATGTCACCATTGGCAGTGACACCAATTTTTTTGATAAGTGAAATCATATATTCAAACAACGATTTATTATAAGACATGTGGTCAGTTGAACCCGAATCAATAATCCAACCGGAATCTTTACCTTCCGATGTAATCAAGGCTTTACCAAGGTTACTTGTATCATCCATAGCATCAGAGGAAGAGTTAAGTTAATTAAGAAGAGATAGAACCGCTTCAAGAGTAGTAGTGGCTGAACCACCCTCTTCTCGGCCAGCAGCTACCACTGCTACCCTTGTGCCTCATTCAGCCGCCACCTTGGCTTGCCTTGTGCGGCGATCAGCTTCCTTCTCAGCCTTAAGTTTTTCACGTTGCTCCAGAAACCAATTAGGAAAGCCATGCTTTTTGAAACACGTCTCATCCGAGTGTCGAGTGCCATTCAATAATCACAGTGGAGTTTATCCTTATCCACTGAACAAAGAGTGGTACGGAACACTCCAAATGAATAATTTTTAGCCACCATGGCCATTGAGGACTCACCAGCTGATCCCTTATTCCCAAGCATAGTATAATGACGTTGGGCTTCATAACGAATGCTATTGAAGCATTCATTCAAACTAGGAAGTGGTTTTGTTTGCAGAAGATCACTCCGGACACGGTCGAATTCCTCATCAAGTCCAACGACAAAATCATAAACCTGGTCTTCATTACCTCTTCCTTGCGGCTCTTCAAATTAGCAACACACACCATTTTGCTTGGGCGACGCTTGTCGAGGTCTTACCAAATGCTTTTCAATACGGTAAAATACACGTTGATTGGACGACCCTCATGTTTGGTTTGGGTAGCCCTGCAACAGAGCTCATAAGATCCATCATAGAACATTGGAGTTATAATCTGTAACATCCCACATCGTCCAGGGAAATAGATCCTGTAAGCTTTATATGTATATTCCCA